AAACTAAAGATGTCTTCATACGTTCAAGTTACTATTATTACTGTGAAAGGCCAGCATGAGATGTAGAATCACAGAGTTTGCACGTGAAAGTGTCGGACTTTGCCCCTTTCGTGGCTCGTACGAGAGGGAATTCGAGTTATCACACATTATTCATTCAAAATATTTCCCCGATTCTGATTGGCTAAAAGCACCCGCATAATTCACCACAACCAGTTACTGATGACCAAATTTGGAAGAATTTTGTGTTTAACGAGGAAATGACGTCAAAAATGCAGCGCTCTTGCAGGTTAATGCCTTGACGGATAACACCCTCCTCGATCTCCATGATTCTTCATAAGATACTCAGCCTCATTCATTAATTGTTAAGTAATCGAGTAAACAGAATTACAAGAATAACTCATGCACACAATTTGCACGTGAAGATGTTGGACTTAAGCCCTTTTACAATTCGTACGTAAAAAACGCAAATTGTTTACTAGAAAGTTTTCTCAAACGATTTTCAGAAATCACCTCAGCTTTACAACATCTACAATTAAATTATGCTTCATGCAACGTCAAAGGTTGATAGCCTAACATTTATTAACTTCCAAGAAAATTATCAATTGAAACTGCCGAAATATTTTTCTACTCATATCATGTTATTCCACTCAATAAAACAATATCTAATTAGTGTCAACTAGCTTCTTCCTATTTTATTCCCTAACGCAACTGTTTCTACTTAAGGTGGCTCGATACAGTTTTTTAGAGTGAATACCTCCCACGTTTGAGCGTGAACCACGTCGCTATAAACAAAGATTTGGAAAAATTAACCCCACAGTTGTATTAGATAAAGAAGAAACTTTGATATGATTAGGGTTGCAATGACATCGGAGTTGTCATGGCAATGAGATGACGCCATTACCTATTATACTTGCAGCAGTATTTCTCGGCAGTGGGACCTGTTCTTCCAAGATCGTTTACTGGAGCTTTTTCCTACAATAGCCGCCTCGATGTTCGTGAAGTTTAAGCGAAATCTGTAAGAGCGTTATCGAGATATTTTGGGAAGAAGTTTTTATGGTTAGAAATACGGTAAAAAATGGACAATCTTGATGTTCGACTGTTATCTGTACTAAACGAAGCGCTTTTGACATGAAATTTCACAGCATAGTAGCTTCAATCTTTTTAAAAACGTGTGTGAAAGATCATGGAGATACCTCCAGCCGATTGCTGGAAAGAAGGAATTGATTAGTATGTATCGGGGCGCTCTTATTAGCAGTAATGTAAACATTTCGGTCTACTTCAACAAATTAGCGAATAATTTTTAAACCTTTCGATAAATTTTTTTTAAAAATTTAAGAATCTTCAGATAAACCGTCCTTTTATATGACCTCTTAGTTTCAAGATTATTGATATATTGTAAGGTAGTAAAATAAGGGCTACAATTCGCTAATATTTTGTCAGAAATTTTGTCTTTACAAGCGAGTCTCTGATTATTCAGGGGTATTGTCTCAAAGTTTCATTTTCACGTGAACAGCAGTAACTAACAATGCATTTGACATATGCAGAAATGCTTGCTATTGTTGTGCACGAAAATATGAATTTTGGAGACAATACCCCTGAATAATGAGAGGCTATCACTTGTAAACACAAAACTGAAACGTGGGAGGTATTGACCTTGAAAAACTATATCGAGCCACCTTAAAGCCTGGTTTCCATATGATCGCTGCTATCGCTGAGAAAAAAAAAGTTCGGCGATCGCAGCGATCATATGAAAACCACTTTCCAGCCATCGTTGTTGCTGCGATCGCTACGATCGCAGGAAAGTGGTTTCCTTATGATCGCTATGATCGCTGCAATCGCTGAACTTTTTTTCTCAGCGATCTCAACGATCGTAGGGATCATATGGAAACCAGGCTTAAGTTACGCATCTTTACTACACCTTTTGCTGTTCATTACGACAAAATACGCATTCATTTGCGTGAAAAGGCGACCAACAGCGCGAAGATACATTCATTAGTGCGAAAAAGCGAACATTTGCGCGTAAGTCAGATTCCATAACGATTTTTGCATTTTAATCAACATTCAATAACATTTTTGGGCATTCATTTGCGTCATTCGACATACAAAAGAGAAAAATATACTTTCATTAACGCCAACATTCGAGTCATTAACATCTTGAAAATCATTAGGGACAATAGACAAACATTAAAGTACAAACGCTATTCATTAACATTTTTATGACACTGTTTGCAATTCAATAGCATTCCTGGACAGCTTTAGAATGGATGAGACAAACATTAATGCGCTTGTACAATCAATAGTCCATTTTCGAGTTCGCTATGACCGCTGCATTAAAGAAGTGAAGACGCATCTTTTACAGCCTTAGCCTCCATCTGAAGTAATATATTCACAAATTCCAACGAGAAAAAGACATGTTTATTACTCTGTCTATTGTGTATATTCAAATTTCAAACACATGCTTGCCAGAATTTCTGAATATTTTACTTTACGTCGAGGCTAACCCTGTATGAATGTGTCGTTAATGTTTATATTCAGCGGTAATTTTGAATTCGAAACTGGACTATTGAGCGTTCTTTACATTTAATATACAAAAATATATTTTCAATTAAACAATACCAATTTCCCCCCAAAATTGGCCTGAATTTGTTTAAAGAATCACGCCGTACTTCGCCACTGTGTGTTCGTCGACGGCTACGGCTATACATTTACCCTAGGCGGCTAGAAGTCATGGTGGGGCGCGACAGGGAGTGGAGGACGTACCGCCAAGTGTGCGGCCAACGATGACGAAACTTGACTATGACCATGGCAATATTAAGTACCTATCAAATGTTTTTTCGGGAGCTGCTGGAGTAATGAATACTGTGTCGGTTTTTCGGTGACTTTCTAGCACGGGCGAGGGAAAAATGGATCCCGATAAGTCGGCGGTCTTTGCGTATGACGGGGTGCCTGGCAGCCACCTAGATTTGGCCATTCCCGCTCCATACGTACACAGCTTATGCTTCCCCCCTCGACATCAAACCTACCTCCCAAAATGTTTAAATAGCGAGGTTTTTAAGGGATATACATTTAACGGACTGAAATTCAGGACAAATTTGTTTGAATTTCTATTGTTTAATTGAAAATCGATTTTAGTATATTAAATGTAAAGAACACTTAATTGATTATACAAGCACATTAGTATTTGTCTTATCCATCCTAAGGTTGTCCAGGAATGCTATTGAATTGCAAACAGTGTCGTAAAAATGTTAATGAATAGTGTTTGCACTTTAATGTATGTCAGCTGTCCCTATTGACTTTCAAGATGGTATTAATGACTTTGATGTTGGCCTTAATGAAAGTATATTTCTCTCTTTTGTATACCCAATGACGCATATGAATGCTCAAAAGTGTTATTGAATGTTGATTAAAATGCAAAAATCGTAATTGAATCTGATTTATGCGCAAATGTTCGTATTTTCGCGCTAATGAATGTATCTTCGCACTATTGGTCGCCGTTTCACGCAAAAGACTGCGTATTTTCTCGTAATGAACAGTAAAAGGTGTAAATAAAATACGTTTCAACAACTATAATACCTAGTAAGCAGGAAGGATGTATCATGTTGTTCACTTATTCATGTTTTAATTGCCGGAACGAAAAAGGTTTGTTGAACTTTGTAAGCAAGAGAATAAAGCTGGTTTACAGGATTAACAATACTCGGTACTTACTTCCAAAAAATAAGTTGCCTTTGAAACATCTAAAACCACAATTTATAGGCCGCATACTCTCGAATTAAAGTCCATATCTAAATATCAATTATTGTTTCAATGGAACAGCTTTGAAAATATATGATCTTTTACTCTCTACCTTGAAGCGGGTGAAACAGAGCTCATAAATACGTTCGTTGTACCGTTCGCGATAGCCGAATTCGGTCAGAAATGTCTTGAAGCAGCACCCACACTAAAATATGAACCCTTAAACAGCTGCATCACTGTACACAGCGTTTGAATCATGAATATATTTAATGTAATGCTTCTAAACACCTGTAGCCGTGATAAAAGACGAAAAATTGTGAAGAATCAAGATGGCGGTCTCAAAGTGCCCTTGTTCGACCTTTGGCAATGCCATGTATAAATAGATGCCAAGATCTCATTGGTTCCTAAGCATCAACTCATATTACCTTCAACCTTATTGGCTCTTGCAACAAACAAGATACAAAGTCACAAGATACAAAGCAACAAAGATACATACGCTCACACCACTGACATAAGAGCTATTTTTTGAAATTAGCTGAATAACGAACTTAGGTTTTTGTTTATATCCTGAGAACCACATTTTTGAATTATTTCAGTACGACGAGCTTCGTTATTGCCCTGAAAGTATCTTCTAGTGAAAGAAAAAGAATTTTTCTGTTCACGGAAAGTGTCCACATTTCTCCATGCGCCTTCTTTTGCGAACTAGATACAAATCCATTTTTTCCTTCCTGCCACGAAATTAAGATTTTGCTCGATTTTTGAAACCGAGCAGGGCAAGGCGTCAGGGGGGCATTTCCTATTTTATGTGAACCATTCATAATTTTCTCAAAATCTACAAGCTTAAAATAACTGGTGGTTTAGAAATATATATTCTTTTCATTTGCTGTACACTTGTATTCCGCTAGCAAGAGATGTTAAACCTTAGAAATGAGTTCGCTTTCAAAAATTTGAGTTTTTTTTTAATATTCCCGCTTGCCCGGTTTGTAGTTTGTTAGCAAAAGCTTTAGTATTTTCAGTGGAGGGTAGATGAATGTACAATGAGTAGATGGATAATTTATATACACCATGTTTAAACAATAATAAATCTGTTTTCTTTTTTCATTTCCCTCATTATCACCAAAGAGAAATGGCATCAACGGAAAAATGAAACCACAACATATCTATACTTTTTTTCAGAAGAGCTGAAACAGCAAACCCAGCAAAAAAATGTGACAACTACAACTATCTTCTGGAAAATAAGTAGATTTTATCTGCAATTTCTTATCGGAATGGCTGAGAAAGGACAAACAGAGGCCACTTGTAATCTTGGAAACACCAACACGATTGCCGATAAAGCTGGGGAGAGGACAGAGGAAGAAAAAGGGAATAGTACTAATGGCGACGCCTATGTAATCTTTAAAGATTTCCAGAAAGCCATAGAGTACCATAAACGACACCTCAAAATTTCCAAAGAAGTGGGAGACAGGGCAGGAGAAGGAAAAGCGTACTGTAATCTTGGCAACGCCTATGACAGTCTTGGATATTTTCAGAAAGCCATAGAGTACCATAAACGACACCTCAAACTTTCCAAAGACGTGGGCGACAGGGCAGGAGAAAGAATTGCCTACTGTAATCTTGGCAGGGTCTATTACAGTCTCGGAGATTTCCAGAAAGCCATAGAGTACCATGAAAGAGACCTCAAAATTTCCAAAGAATTCGCAGACCGGAAAGGAGAAGGAATACCGTACTGTAATCTTGGCAACGCCTATCACAGTCTTGGATATTTCCAGAAAGCCATAGAGTACCATGAACGAGACCTCAAAATTTCCAAAGAAGTGGGAGATAGGGCAGGTGAAGGAAAAGCGTACGGTAATCTTGGCAACGCCTATCACAGTCTTGGAGATTTCCAGAAAGCCATACAGTACAATGAACGACACCTCAAAATTTCCAAAGAAGTGGGAGACAGGGCAGGAGAAGGAAAAGCGTACGGTAATCTTGGCAACGCCTATGACAGTCTTGGATATTTCCAGAAAGCCATAGAGTACCATGAACGAGACCTCAAAATTTCCAAAGAAGTGGGAGACAGGGCAGGAGAAGGAAGAGCGTACGGTAATCTTGGCAACGCCTATGACAGTCTTGGAGATTTCCAAAAAGCCATAGAGTACCATGAACGACACCTCAAAATTACCAAAGAAGTGGGAGACAGGGCAGGAGAAGGAATAGCGTACTGTAATCTTGGCTGCGCATATAACAGTCTTGGATATTTCCAGAAAGCCATAGAGTACCATGAACGAGACCTCAAAATTTCCAAAGAAGTGGGAGACAGGGCAGGTGAAGGAAAAGCGTACGGTAATCTTGGCAACGCCTATCACAGTCTTGGATATTTCCAGAAAGCCATAGAGTACCATGAACGAGACCTCAAAATTTCCAAAGAAGTGGGAGACAGGGCAGGAGAAGGAAGAGCGTACGGTAATCTTGGCAACGCCTATGACAGTCTTGGAGATTTCCAAAAAGCCATAGAGTACCATGAACGACACCTCAAAATTACCAAAGAAGTGGGAGACAGGGCAGGAGAAGGAAGAGCGTACTGTAATCTTGGCTGCGCATATAACAGTCTTGGATATTTCCAGAAAGCCATAGAGTACCATGAACGAGACCTCAAAATTTCCAAAGAAGTGGGAGACAGGGCAGGTGAAGGAAAAGCGTACGGTAATCTTGGCAACGCCTATGAAAGTCTTGGATATTTCCAGAAAGCCATAGAGTACCATGAACAACACCTCAAAATTTTCAAAGAAGTGGGCGACAGGGCAGGAGAAAGAATGCCTACTGTAATCTTGGCAGGGCCTATTACAGTCTCGGAGATTTCCAGAAAGCCATAGAGTACAATGAACGAGACCTCAAAATTTCCAAAGAATTGGCAGACAGGGAAGGAGAAGGAATAGCGTACTGTAATCTTGGCTGCGCATATAACAGTCTTGGATATTTCCAGAAAGCCATAGAGTACCATGAACGAGACCTCAAAATTTCCAAAGAAGTGGGAGACAGGGCAGGTGAAGGAAAAGTGACGGTAATCTTGGCAACGCCTATCACAGTCTTGGATATTTCCAGAAAGCCATAGAGTACCATGAACGAGACCTCAAAATTTCCAAAGAAGTGGGAGACAGGGCAGGAGAAGGAAGAGTGTACGGTAATCTTGGCAACGCCTATGACAGTCTTGGATATTTCCAGAAAGCCATAGAGTACCATGAACGACACCTCAAAATTTCCAAAGAAGTGGGAGACAGGGCAGGAGAAGGAAAAGCGTACGCTGGTCTTGGCAACGCCTATGACAGTCTTGGATATTTCCAGAAAGCCATAGAGTACCATGAACGAGACCTCAAAATTTCCAAAGAAGTGGGAGACAGGGCAGGAGAAGGAAGAGCGTACGGTAATCTTGGCAACGCCTATGACAGTCTTGGAGATTTCCAAAAAGCCATAGAGTACCATGAACGACACCTCAAAATTACCAAAGAAGTGGGAGACAGGGCAGGAGAAGGAAGAGCGTACTGTAATCTTGGCTGCGCATATAACAGTCTTGGATATTTCCAGAAAGCCATAGAGTACCATGAACGAGACCTCAAAATTTCCAAAGAAGTGGGAGACAGGGCAGGTGAAGGAAAAGCGTACGGTAATCTTGGCAACGCCTATGAAAGTCTTGGATATTTCCAGAAAGCCATAGAGTACCATGAACAACACCTCAAAATTTTCAAAGAAGTGGGCGACAGGGCAGGAGAAAGAATTGCCTACTGTAATCTTGGCAGGGCCTATTACAGTCTCGGAGATTTCCAGAAAGCCATAGAGTACAATGAACGAGACCTCAAAATTTCCAAAGAATTGGCAGACAGGGAAGGAGAAGGAATAGCGTACTGTAATCTTGGCTGCGCATATAACAGTCTTGGATATTTCCAGAAAGCCATAGAGTACCATGAACGAGACCTCAAAATTTCCAAAGAAGTGGGAGACAGGGCAGGTGAAGGAAAAGCGTACGGTAATCTTGGCAACGCCTATCACAGTCTTGGATATTTCCAGAAAGCCATAGAGTACCATGAACGAGACCTCAAAATTTCCAAAGAAGTGGGAGACAGGGCAGGAGAAGGAAGAGTGTACGGTAATCTTGGCAACGCCTATGACAGTCTTGGATATTTCCAGAAAGCCATAGAGTACCATGAACGAGACCTCAAAATTTCCAAAGAAGTGGGAGACAGGGCAGGAGAAGGAAAAGCGTACGCTGGTCTTGGCAACGCCTATGACAGTCTTGGATATTTCCAGAAAGCCATAGAGTACCATGAACGAGACCCCAAAATTTCCAAAGAAGTGGGAGACAGGGCAGGAGAAGGAAAAGCGTACGGTAATCTTGGCAACGCCTATAACAGTGTTGGAGATTTCCAGAGAGCCATAGAGTACCATGAACAAGACCTCAAAATTTCCAAAGAAGTGGGAGACAGGGCAGGAGAAGGAAGAGCGTACGGTGGTCTTGGCAACGCCTATGACAGTCTTGGAGATTCCCAGAAAGCCATAGAGTACCATGAACGACACCTCAAAATTTCCAAAGAAGTGGGAGACAGGGCAGGAGAAGGAAGAGCGTACGGTAGTCTTGGCAAGAACTATGACAATCTTGGAGATTCCCAGAAAGCCATAGAGTACCATGAACGATGCCTCCAAATTTCCAAAGAAGTGGGAGATAGGGCAGGTGAAGGAAAAGCGTACAGTCATCTTGGCAACGCCTATCACAGTCTGGGATATTTCCAGAAAGCCATAGAGTACCATAAACGACACCTGAAAATTTCCAAAGAAGTGGGAGACAGGGCAGGAGAAGGAAAAGCGTACGGTAATCTTGGCATCGCCTATTACCGTTTTAGAGATTTCCAGAAATCCATACAGTACCTTGAACTTACTCTCCAAATTTCCAAAGAAGTGGGAGAAAGGGCAGGAGAGGGAAAAACGTACTGTAATCTTGGCAACGCCTATAACAGTGTTGGAGATTTCCAGAGAGCCGTTGACTGTTATAAAAACAGTGTCATTGCTTTCGACCACATCAGGGGAAATCTCATATCTAATGACGAATGGAAGATTAGTCTTGGGAGTACGTATGATGATATTATTTTGAGGCTATGGGGTCTGCAGGTTAAGCAAGGTAAAGTCGTCGAGGCACTTTTAACTGCTGATCATGGTCGTGCCCAAGCATTAAATGATCTTCTGAAGTTCAAGTATGGGTTGAAAGAGTTATCTCCAGAAATAGGAACATTCTCTGCAACAACACCTGACATTCTTAGTTACCTACCATCAAATACAGCTTTTATAGGTATCAACGAGGGGGGAATAGTTCTCTGGGTGAACGAGAAAGGAAAAGAAATCAAAACTAGAGGAACTCAGATCGATATCTCCGGCACAACCTATTTTCAGTCTCTATTAGAGACTACACGTAAAGAAATAGATGTGAGAGCTGTTGTTAACTGTGAAGATCGCTCATTAAGGAACTCAAACGATGAAAAGTTTGCAGCAGAAAGATCCAGTCAGCCAAGGTCTCATTCCTCATCTTTTCGGACAAAGTCATTACAAACATTTTACAAAGTTGTTATGGACCCTATAAGAGACTTACTCCAAAGCGATGAGGTTGTGATTGTTCCAGAAGGACCTCTTTGTTTGGCCCCTTATGCTGCTTTCATTGACTTGAAATCTAAGTACCTCTGCGAAACTTTTAGAATTCGCCTACTTCCCTCACTTTCTACTCTGCGATTAATCCATAATTGTCCAGCAGATTGGCACAGCAAGACTGGCGCTCTTCTCGTCGGCGATCCGTGGGTACAGGAGGTAGTTTATGAAGGAAGGAGGTTAGAGCAGTTACCGGGGGCCGCAACGGAAGTGCAGATGATTGGGGAAATACTTCAAATTGAACCTCTCGTTGGAAAGCAGGCAACAAAAGATGAAGTGTTAACACGCATCTCCTCGGTTGCTCTGGTGCACATTGCTGCTCACGGCAAAATGGAAACAGGAGAAATTGCCTTGGCCCCAAACACAACACGCTCATCCGTGAATCCAGCCAGAGAGGACTATCTCTTAACTATGAAAGATGTTTTAAAGGCGCAGATTAGGGCAAGACTTGTTGTACTCAGTTGTTGTCATAGTGCCCGGGGAGAAGTCAAATCTGAGGGTGTGGTCGGTATTGCACGGGCATTTTTAGGTGCTGGTGCTCGCTCTGTTCTGGTGTCTCTGTGGGCGATCGACGACGAAGCTACTATGGAGTTCATGAAAGTTTTCTACCAACAACTAGTCCATGGACGAAGTGCCAGTGAGGCTCTGAAGAAAGCCATGAAATCCCTTAGAGAATCTAACCGCTTTAACGCAGTGAAGTACTGGGCGCCGTTTGTTCTTGTTGGTGACGACATAACGCTCGAGTTTGAGGGCATCCAATAAATAGCAAGGTATTTTAGGATATATTTAAACCTTGGATAATATTACGTGATTTAGGAAACGTCATTTTAACAAGGAATTATTTTTGCCCTTTTACTGAGCAACGAACTCAACCGGTGCACGTACCGTCAATCTGCCAATCACAGCTCAAGTTCACAACAACAATGGAGTCTGACTTTGGTAGTTTTTTTGGCAGTTAAACACTAGAAAATTTTTTCAAGGCTTATGATTTTTTCACATTTCAACGTGTGGCCCCGTCTGAGTTTGTTCTACTGTAACTTACAGTCGAACCTGACGTAAGCGACGACCCAAAATGCGAAGATTAAATTTCCGGTCGCTTATTTTACGGAAGGTGGTTGCTTAGGAAAGCCTAGATAAGGCATATCCTCTATTAAGCCTCGCGGAGGTTTATTCATTTCAAGAACGTTTGAGAGGGAGGAGGGGCTTATCTAATTAAGCGAAGATTGTGGTATCATTTCTCCATAAAGAACTGACAACCTCAAGTGAAAAATCTCAGGGACATGAAGTTGCAGGTCATGATCAGCCGAAGATTAAATTCAAATCGAAACTTCCAGCTCGTGAATAAACCATACAGGATAATCAATCCACATGAAGTGTTACAATCGTGATAAATTAATACATCTATCATACGTCTATTATATAAGAATAGGGAGAGGATGCTTGAAAGAGAGTAGGAGGTTAAATAACTTTCCTCTGAAAAGGGGAGCTTATTAGAGAGGGCGAGGCTTAATAGGGAATTTATGGTATGCATGTTTATTTAAATCTGCAATAAGTCTAATCATTGGTTAAAGTTACGAGTTTAAACGTGACCCTTTGCTCTAATAGATTTAGGGCGTGTTCGATTCACCGTACTCCGCGTCTTAAATAAAAATATATGGAATAAACTCGCGAGAAATCACTTGTTCTGTCTTTCATTCTGTTGCAATATTTACAAAACGGCTTGAAATAAAGTATTCTGATCTATATAAACTTTAGATGGTTCAAAAATTACGGTATAGAAGAGGTTTGCATCAAAACGTTTGCGTATTCTTATTCCGGGGTACGATCAATCGAGCACACTCTTAAAAGTCAGTTGTCAAAATGTTATGCCTCGCCAGATGAAGTCACTATCCTTTTCTTTCGTTAGCTTGCTAACGTTGCTTTTTCCTGTTGTGGTTGTTGTTGTATAGGTATGATGAAGAATGCAGTGAAGCAGTTTCTAACTATCTGAGGGTGAAGTCAGTTTCTAATTTTGTCACAATTACTAGGTGGAGCGTTCATCTCAAGAATAGGAACACTTTATCCAGAAGAAAAAATTATCTGCTGTTAATATTTTGCGTGGTCTGAAAATTACAGTGTAGGTTTCGTAGCTTATTTTGCGACCAGTCATGTGCACTTGAAACTTGTTTTGTAGTCATCTGAAAAATATCAGGAATCAGTAGTCAATTTCGGCTATTTTCATCGATACCACAAGGGACAGAGGCACTTTAGATTAGCAATTTAATATAGCTCTTTACTGTTATATTATGTACACAGTTGTAATTTTTAATTCTTTTGCCAGATTGGTTTAAGTTTATTAATGTCTATATTGGTTTGATTCAAGTCTACATGACTTTTAATTATACATATGTGTAGAGGATACGTTTTACACCTCACCTAAATTGTACCTGTAGAAATTAAGACGGAATCCAGCAGGAAATTGAGTAATTTTAATTTTCAGTGTACAAAAACCTTTACCAGAATAATTTAAAGCATATTGCATTCTTTTTTACATTTTTTCAAGTGCTAAAGATGTAAAAATTTCACAAAATTACATCTAAAACATGAAGTTTTCAGAATTTTACCTGTGTTTTCACAATTCTTGTGAAAATTTGACGTTCGTTTTCTCGGACTCCCATAAGAAATTTTCTTTGGTGTTATTGCAGATGACTAATTACATCTTTAGCCCTTGAAAAGTGTTAAAAAGAATGCAATATTCTTTAAATTATTCTGGTACAAGGATTTTGTCCACTGAAAATTAAAATAACTCAATTTCCTGGTGGATTCCCTCTTAAAACGTCTTCAAATAAATTTATCGTTTTGTGTTTCTAAACTGGCGTCTATAATTAGTGTCAAAGCAATGACGTGCAACCTAATTGTAATGCTGGCAAGGAACGTATACCTTCTTGCGTAACTGAGGTTATAAAACACTAGCCTACAAATGTCGTATACCTCAGTGAAGCGGTGTCCTGATTGACTGATCGAAATCTTGGTTACAGTTTTTTACACAAAACGGAAGATTGAACTAAATGGTCAACTTAGATATTATAAAGAAATGAATAGGATTCCTCATGAGACAATATAGAAAGTTTCTGGTAGGGTTGTCTATTGATACCACCCGTTGAATGTAGTAAGCGTAGCCAACATAGCAAAGGCATAAAGTATAGCAAGCAAACGTAGCAAGAGAAGCAAGTATACCAAACGTACTGTAGCAGGCGCAGCAAGTGTATCGCAGCACCCTCAAGCGTAGCAAACATAACAAGCGTAATAAGTGTATCAAGAGTAGAAAGCGTAGCAAGAGTAACAAGTGTAGCAAGCGCCGGTAGCAAGTGTAGCAAGAAAACTTTGCAAACGTAGCAAGCGTAGCAAGTGTACCGGCAAACGAAAGAAGCGTAGCAATTGCAGCAAGTGTAGCAGGTGTAGCAAGTGTAGCAATATGAGCAAGCGTAGCAAGTAGCAAAGTGTAGCAAGTGTAGCAGGTGTAGCAATTGACTCAGGATTTAATAACAATCATATCGGCCAATTATGTTTCACTTGTAGGGCACAAGTGATTATGTAATATTGGTGAACATACTGGTAATTCGTTTGTTTTACGTTTTTTACTATAAGAGCATGCTCTCAGTAAGACTTGTTAATGTTTGCGGCACTACATTACCCTCCTAACCTTCTTAGTGCCAAGCAGTAGTGGTTTACATAAAATACTCATACATGAAGTAAGACGTTACTGTTAAAGCAAGCAATGGATACCAGGAGTTTTTCTCGCGCTGCTTCCGGCGTTTAAATCACGGATCAACGTTCATATCACGGGTCTGCATTTCTCGAAACTCCCGAAAGACTATTTTACGTGAACTTAGTTCATTAAAAGAAATCGGATTTCTAGCATTTTTGAATATTTTTTTCGAAGCGCCGGCTATAAAATGGAGAAATAAATTGGGATAGTTTGTGTAAAAAGCAAATCGCAATTGCTAGAAAACAAGCTTGAAAAATTATGTTTGGGCCTGAAACGTTTATCGCAGTTTTGAGAGACGGGTCGTATACCAGGTAAAACAAAATCCTGTGGTTTTCATATTGTCTCATTCCGTTACTGCGACTTCAGCTATTAAACGTCAGAAGCTCTGGAAATGCGCTGGTGTCCGGTTAATAGAGGTTTTGCTGTATCTTTGTCTACCTGTTATAAATAATTCAGCCTCCAGCAAATATGAAAGCATACAAACCAGTTGCAATTGTAATGAGGTAGTTGCCTTTAGTTTTGTTTTTCAGTTTTGCTATTTTTAAGATTTTGCTAGCTTCGCGATAAACAGTTTATAGACTTCTATAGACTTGGAGACTCAGAGATTCAGCAGATTCAGTGTATTTACCCACATGGTTAGTTCCTGAGTTTTTGTCTAGTATTATCCATTTGAAGAGTTTGTTAAGCTTAGTTTTGTTTCTTTGAAGTACGCTTGTTTGGGGAGTACAGCTGACCTTGAGTTTTACCCACAATCGAGTTCCTGTT